GGTGTTTTTTGATTGGGGGGGGGGGGGGGTGAGGGTCGCTGGGTGAATTCTTGAGAGTTTTTGAGAGCGTATTCTCGGGTGTTCGGTTGAGAGTTTGCTGATTTTTTTCTTCCATTTTTGCGGGATGGTTTGGCTAGGGGTGGTCTTGTGGAGTTGTTAGCGGTGGTGGATATGCTTGACGATTCTGTTTGTTTGTCAGTCTGCTATATTCAAGGTCGTTGATGACACCCCCTTTAGCCCGATAGAGGATAGTGTCAAGCAAGTGGGCTTGGGGGGGGATTTACTCATTACATTAGCAATTGCATCAACACCAGTCAATACTTTACAATGACGTTCTCGGAATCATTCGGGATGTGGCTTTTACATATGATGGGAAAGATAGAGCGTGATAGTGTAGGGCATTGATTGTGATGGTGTGGGGAATTGAGTGTGCATGGGAACAAAAGAAATCACAAGCTACTGCGCAGAGTATGATACTAACTCAACTTTGAGTATGGATTAAATAGCCCACGAGTCAGTTCCAGGCACAATGCTTGTGCTGGTACGAGTATAGCATAGCGCTCCACACCACCCCCTAGCCCCACCGAGTAAAAGAAACACAAGATTTCATTCGTCCATTAAAAACCATGGAAAGACGACAGGATACACGCCAAAACAAACGCAGGGGGATAGAATGACACCAATGGGAGTCTCAAACGGCTCGGCATCCCGGCGGATATTCCCATAGAAAAAAGAAAAGAAAAAAAGCTGCAGTACAGGAGGTATGGTAATTATAATATATTCTCTTCAAGGTTTTGTCCTCACCAACCGAGGCGGTCACCTCATCTTATCTCCAAAATCTCACGGGGAATTGAATTGAATTGAGTGCTATTTATTAAGGAAAGCGATTTAAGTATACCTTGGGCGACACTTTTCTCAGCAATCTCGCGAGGCCTTGCTTCGGTCGAAAGCTCAGCCATTCATGCCTATCATACCATCACCGCTGCATGCTCGGGATACGGACATGTAGAACATATAGAGCAGGGTTTGGATATGGGCCACCGGGGTTTGGGAAGTGGGTGGGTATCGTAGCTACGATATAAATCTCATTGAAAGGGGTTCATTCAAGACCGGCGATATCTATCGTAATACCATGATAGATGCTAGACTATACTGGAGTACTGTACCGTGCAAGGGTAAGTCGGGTTACACCAGTTCAGCCCTTTTTTTCTTGTCCAGGTAGCCACCACCGCCCTGTCAATCGCCAGATCTCTCTCTCTCTCTCTCTCTCTCTCCTACAACCAGACCTGCCCCTCGAGCCCGGTAACAATATCTTTCGATAAGTTGGAAAGGCGCCAAGCTTTGAACATGAGGAGAGGCAAAAAAATGCAAACCAATGATTACTGTGGGTCCCTTCACCAATTCTGATCATGGGGTATCACTCAAGTTTGCGAATTTGTGCTGACTTCCGCTCGGTATTGGACCGAGTGGATCCCACGGGGGGGGGGAAGTGAACCGTTTTTTTTAAAAAAAAAATGAAAAAACACTAAAAAGCTCGAAATTTTAAAATCTGAATTAACGGCTGACACTGAGAAGACGGGATACAATTAGTGTAGGAGTATGATAGGAGGTTTCCATACCATATCCCAGATAGAACATTAGCGGTATCATAATATTATTATAGTAAAGTCTTGACGTTATTGAGGGAGGAAAAACCCCAACGACCCGCCGACCGGCAGCGCATAGCTCAACTATGATACCATATTCAGGCTTCTTCTATCCCTCGATTTGACGGGTGCTGGGCAAATCGATCAAATATATTACACAAGTACTGTACTGTACTGTACTGTACAAGTGCTAGGGCTAAAGTTTTCGCGTGGTTAATTTAGGTTAACCAGCAAAATAATCCCCGCCTTGTCCGTACGAGTGGTCTACTCGAGTACTATTCCACCAACCTGGCTCAAACCGGGAGATCCGGTCGGGGAGTAATAACGAGATGTGGAAAGTATCCTTAACCGGAAAAATATTTCCAAAGGGGTTTTTTTCAAACCGACAACCTATTATTATTGTACTGTACCGGTAATCCCGCCGACCCTTTTTTGGGCGCCCCGACGTAGAAACATGAGCTTCCGTGCATTCCCCTGCCCCATCCATTCATGACGTTCTGCGTCAAACCTTGTCGATCGCCTTTATCGCCATCCTATCACGTCCTGTCGTGTGGCATGTGACCTATCACACGCTCCAGTACAAGCACTTGGTCTCTAGGACAAGGATTGTGGCTTCTAGCATCTGCGAGTTGTATTATAGCTACAAGTACGGTACGTGTACAGTACAATATGATACCGGCACCGTACGAGTGCTCGAGCACTGATGGTAGGGTGCGGTAGTGAGTTGTTATTTTGCAGTGGGTCCACACTCGAGTGTGATGTCTTGGTCACTTTTTGCCGGCTTATGATAATACGGAGTATGCAGTTGCCCCTCAGCATTCTCGACGGATGGTGGGGTATCCAACCGGGGCCCAGAAGGTCAATCATTGGACTCCAGAGGACCCTAACCCGGCAACTGAACTTGTTCCGAGCGCCAGGATTCGAGACTTTGATGGAGGGTGCAGTTACAGTACTGTGCTTGGGGGTAAGGGCGAGTGTTTTTCTGGTGTTAAGCTTGGCAGCCTTGGAGCTTTGTTTGTGGTCCGAGTAGACCATGCCCTAATGTTAATCGCAAGCTTTCCACTGGCTCCTGGTGGACGGGCAACCTTGAGTAAGTCAAGCAGGTATTGAGTTACTAATACAAGTGGTGGGTGAAAGCAAACTGGTAGTACAGTACCGTACAGTGGGTCCCGGGCCTGCTTGCAGGGGAGCAGAGCAACACCATATCGTAGCAATGGGCGGTTGCCGCCGAATTTTGTCTTTCAACCATTGTGATCATGAGGGATCACTCAAATTTTCTGATCGGTGCTGGCTCCCACCCAAATACTCTACCCGTGTCGGAAGTGCCCCCAACTTATGGCAACTCTCAAACATA